TATACATACACATACACACACATACATACATACATACATAAACACTACATGTTCATGTTTATTTTACTTCTTGTTAGGAATAAATTATGAATATGATGAATTTTCATATTTTAAACATCTGGGTCTGGGATGAGGGTAAAACAATAAAATCCAAACATAAAAGGTATTTAAAAAGTAGCAAAACATTATGAAGGCATGGTATTAAGTTGCACGGTATAAAATAAAATAAAATAAAATAAAGAAATTTGTTAAAAAAAAAATCTTTGATTTAATTAAAAAATAAATAATAATTCGGAGCACCTGAGGCTAATTGCTTTGCTCAAACACACCAGGGCTGGGATCAAACTGTAGTTTCCCAAACTACACATAATAATAAACAGCAGTATTTGCCCTGTAATAAAATCATATTCTTGTTTTCCTTTTAAATATCTAAATATCTTTGAAACAAGATCAATTTACTACAAGATCAGCTTTAGATATGAAGACTCCGATTTTATCAATTCTAAACAATGTAACTGTATTTTGTAATTCTGCAAAACCTGATTATTATTCTTTTTTTTTTTACTTGTTTATACTTAAAAACAGGTGAAAATATCTGCCAGTGCAGTATGACAAAATACACTTATATTAAAGACTGATTCTCTGAAAACAAGACCTCTTTGCCTCTCAAGTAAATGTGTCTCTTGAATTTTTAGATATTTTAACAGGAAAACAAGTCAAAAAAGACTAATTGTAAAGCTATTAAGAAGTTGCAGTGTAGTTATATATTGCACTACAAAACAGAAGACATAAAATGCAGCAGAGGGATTCCAGAACCACAACTGAGTAATAATTCAAATCAATCTGTGAATTATTATTTTGAATCAGTTCATTAAAATGAACTTTCTAAACAAACCTTTCCAAGACTTTATGTTCAAACTGTTTATTCAGTTTTATACAGTTGAACTGAATCCACACTGAACTGACTGGAGCTAAACAATGACACTATTGTAATTTTTTTGGAGCTGTTTTACATTTCATTTTTCTTGTTATGAAATATCTACACCTGATGTCACCCAGAAATGAACCTATAATATAACTGCTTTGACAGTCGATCAATATCCTTATCGGACTCATCAGCACAGGAATATGGTTGTTACCTCTGAACATCAAAGTTGGCATTGAAGAGGCTTCCCTGCCACAGGCTGGTGATCTCTTCCGTCTCCTTCTCTGTGGGGTTTCCTGACACGGTGGCAAACACCATCAGGGTCCTTCCCTTCTTGGACATCTTCAGGAGCTCCTCTGGTTTAGACGCATCTATTTTAGAGAAGTCGATGGGTGGAGGAGACCGTTTGTGCTCAGGTAAGTCGCCCTCCTCAATTTCATCATCTTTCTGTAATAAATAAAAAGATGTCAATCACTGAAGAAAGAAAACATCTTTTTAAGATCTAATGGCAAAACTTAAATTACTGGTAGATATAGGTCTGGGCAATATAAATTATATAATATTTTTCAGCTTATTGAATGCATTGCACAGCCCTGCTGTTGGACGTCATGCGAGAAGGAAAAATGTTACACAAAATAAAGATATTACAGTGACATTAAACATTTATTTTCTATAGATTTTATTTATTTTCAAACTTGGTTTTGAAACTTTAAACATTCAATATTTTATACGTATACTTTAAAACGTTAAATCTTATTTTATTAAAACATTTCTTACATTAAATACAGTATTTAATATTTATAATTTAAAACTTTAAACTGTAAATATTTGATAGGCTTACTTCCAATATTAAATATTTTCAAACTTTAATCGTTTAGTGTAGATTCAGAATGCAAACATTTGCAGAAACTATTTCAATAGCCTTAACTTTCTCATCATCTTTGTATAATTTAATACTTTTTAAATGACTGCGACACTATCTGGCTTTCTGTGATCCATGTTCTTTCAAAGGCAACCTTTGACTCAAGGAGTGCCCTTATAAAATGTGTGAATCTGCTAGACTTTACAAGATATCCACCAATCACATTCCCCGTTTCCTTCCCACACAAGTGTCAGACTGTCTCATCTATCTATCTATCTATCTATCTATCT